AGATGGAACAAACCTTTTATGTGCTTTGAGGGCTTTGATTTTAGCATAATAGTATAGGGGGATCTTGCAACCATTATGTTTGGTTATTCTTGTGTCAACATCATAGGTGCTTGGTTGGTTGGTTGGTTTGACCTGATTGCTAGCTTTGTAAAAAAACTCAGTTTTGCAGTCTAAACATCACTTTGATTTATTGCTACTGCAGAATTTGAATGGATAAAGGGAGGAACTAGGTTGGTTGTTTTTTTTTTTTCCTCGTTGTTCATACCTGGTGTTTACATGCTCTGGATCCATCTGGCCTTTTAAAGTCGAGACTATTAGATATTAAAGAATTCCTTAACCAGACAACAATAACCATCAACCCAGTTGGGCTGGAGCTGTTCCAGATTTTCTCTCTCTCCAAAAGTGCAGATATCTTCTTTCTGCATTGCAAGGCTGTCTTCAGCTGGCTGTGACTCAAATACAAGTCTTCCAGATGTCGGTGCAGGATACTGTGATGAGACTGCCTTTCTGTTTCCAATGTTTAATTGTGGAAAATGAAAGGAAGGTAGTATCTTGTTTTGGCAACAGATCATGTGCTCCGATTCCTAATTTTATTACATCTTACTCGCTAGAGCATGGAAGAAAATGACTGTAAAAAGCAAAGGTGTTTCTTTTCTGCTAGCAAAGTTGAAACCAGATGTGAAAAAAATTTGATGGCAACACTGAATAGAGGTCACTAGCTAAAAACATGGGTTGAATGACTTATAATGGTGGGTTGGGATGAGAAGGGTTAATTCTCATATAATTTCTTTTCTATTTCCATGTTATTTTTGTGTGGATGCCATTCATCAATGTTCAGAAGCCCTCAATTTACTGTTTACAAAGTGTTCTTAGCAACAGTGGAAATAACCAAAAGGGAATAATATGAACCCTTTCCTCTTTGGGAAGGGAAAGGGAGGAAAGTGTGACTGTTACTTCACTTGTGATGCAGTGCAACATTTCTTAAAATCTTAGGGATCTGTTTACTTAGGTACCTTAAATATGTGAAGTGAAGAATAAAATTCATGTTAAATGGAATGCAGTAAAGTCACTGTCGGATGTATTTGGTAGTCTTTGTGTGTATGCATGTGAATGCTGCATGTGTTTAAAACATTACATATAAATAACTAAATGGAGGTGGTAGCCATATGAAAAGCTATCATATCCCTCTGTTACTCTGTGGAGAACAGACCCGATCTGGACTGGTACCAAGTTAGTGCTCAGTTTTAAATAATGGAGTTCAGCCTGCCAGGCAGAACAGATTTTTCAGCACTTGGGAAGGCGCTCCCCAGTTTTACTGGTGTCTTGACATTTGTCTTACATTCCCCAAATCCAAGAAAGAAACAACTTCCCTCCCTCTCTTTGTGACAGGTTGTAGTTAAGAAAAGATTTGGCCTGGTTTATCCACACTTTCAGTTTGGCTCAGGTAAACTCAGGAGGGATTGATCTGCAGAATTATTCTGCAATTGCTTAGCACCTCTAAAAGTCAGTCTTGCAGTAAACTATGTGCTAGACCTTGCAGTGAGCTCTGCGCAGCTAAGTTTGGTCTTCAGACTGAACCCCACAGAAATCAGAGGTCATCTTGGTGCATTCAGATTCCAAGTGCAGGCTTATAGGTGGACAGATACAAGAAGTATTCTCCAGTATTATTCCACAATGTTTTTGTCCAACAGGTACCCAATACCTCATGGATGACAGAAAGGTTTTATCAGTAATAATTGTATTTACCTGGCTTTCTTGTTCATTGGTATCCCTCTCCCAACTCCTCTGGTGATGAATCCTTTAAAACCAACCACATTGTTTGTAATGTGTATGTGTTACTGTAAATACACACAAAAAACCTTGAAAGCCTTAATGGTAGACAAAGAAAAACAAATGCAGCATGTTGTGTTTAGGAGCAGTACTGTCTGTCAGAAAAACATGGCCATGGGGGAGAGGAACCTGGAAAGCTGCCGAAGAGCTATGGTGGTTGCAGGTCAGAAGGGAGGGCAAAGGCATGAATGTTCTCAGCCAGTGAGCGAAAATCTTCTCTTTCTGCATTTCAGACTGCATTTTTTTTGTATCTGGGAGTCGATCTCCCAAGCAATGCGTTGGGTGCAGCCTTCTCACTTCCCTTATGCTATTGTGGTAGGTCACGTAATGTTCAAACGACACTCAGGAATCCTGATGTGTGTTTGTGCCTCTTCAACACCATCACTGTCAATTACTAATCCTGAAAAGTAAGGTTAATCTTCAGGTTTTTGAATCATATCTGTAACTTTTAATGGTGTGTTGCAGCCGTTCCTCTGCAAGGTACTTTCTAGCTTAATTCAGTACAAAAAGGGTAAATGAAAACTAGTATTCTGAGATTATTGCTTGCTGAGTACATTGGATCTGTGGTGTTTGGCTGCTCTACAGAAAAAACCCTTATAAATTGAAAGCCAATTGAAACGTAAGGCTGGTGTGTACTTTTGCTTTTATCCTGGTACAAGGATTTACCCCAACTCCTGCAAAAGCAGCAGAGAGAAGAAATTGCCTCGGTTAATTTGCACAACAAAATGAAGATGTGATAGTGGCACGGTTGGCGTACCCGTGCTAACTTTAATCCAAGTAGCACAGGTAACATGTTCAGAGGAATTGATAGTATAGGTGAGCAACAGCGTATGTATGCAAGGCTGCAGTGCTGTCGTATACTGTATGTTAGCTTGTGATGAAGTCTCTGCTGCTTGCTTTCTGCTGCTGCTGCGGTTACCTGCCTTAGCTATGTAAATGCTGTTATGAGTGTGTCTGCCATGGGATCTTGCACTTTCATTTTGCAGTGTGCGTGAACCTCTGAAGTCGCATCTTTAACATCCCGGGCTGAACATACAAGAACTGCATGAAAGTAAAAAGCAAACGCTTGCTTATCTTGATGGTTTTTACCAGTGTAAAGCTTCCATGAGTGATGCTGCACAGAAGGGGGTATTGTCTTTTAAACAGTCAGCCACATCAGGTTTCTTGGAGTCTCTGCACTTTTCCTTCTTTATACTGAATCAAAGGGGCTCTGCGTGCCACAGAGTTGAGCTCCACTGGATGTACTAGTATGACCCTAAGTGGGAGCAGGCTGAGGTGGGATTAAGGTTCACTGAATTGTCATTGATGAGTTGGCATCCATCAGTCTTGGAAACTTGCTTAGAAAGGATGCAATCAGAGCAGCCCTGTAGGGGATGTCCTCCCTCCAGCCATTTCTGCAGTACCTCTGGCTGTGGAAGGAGGGGAGGGAGAGGAGCTAGTGTTTTGAGTGTAACTGTATTGTAATAGACCAGATGAGAGTTTGGGATTTGTACCGCAGCATCTGGGTTTTGTGAGACCAGTGGAATTTTTTCCTCTCACTTTTAAAATCTTGCACAGAAAATAAGAATTGTCTTATTTAAATAAAGCATAAAGTATTGTCATAATAAGACATTGCTAATTACTTGCTTTTGGGTATAGTTCTGTGATACTGTCTGTTATAAATGCTGGTTGCTTACATGAACAAGAAATAAATAGATATTTTCTCTGCTCCAAATAACTAAAATTCAGCATATCTAAGTATTTAAGTTATTGCATTATTCTATTGTATGGCTGCCTGCATCACTGAAATAAAGGAACTGCAGCAATGTAGCCAACAAACCTTTAATAAAAGCATTTGATTGAACAGCACCACGTTGGATCTAGTCCACCAGAATAAAAGCAGTTTGGGGCTGTAGTGTCTTGTTAAACACATTGTAAATGTTTTTGGCAAGAAGCTTGGTTGAATCCAACCACTTCTGGACAGCCAGCATGTCAGAGCATTTCTGAGTGAGATATATCACCCTGTCCTGGACTGATAGCTTTGGATAATCCTCTAATCCAAGTGATTGCTTAAATGTTGCAGCCTGTTTAGTTTTGCTCAGTCTAGGATGACTTGCTGCCGGAGAGCTCAGGGTGAATTTTTTTTTTTTTAAATTAAAAAAGAACTGCAGCTGAAGAAATTAATTTAACTCCAGCTGCCTAGGGTCCAGGCTGGACTTACGGATGTCATATCCTAATGCTGTATTGGTCTGTTAGAGACAGCTCCTGACCTCTGTTGTTCCTCTGGCTTCTGGGATTTTTGCTGAAGCTGTCAAAGAGAAGGTGACTTGAAGAAGGCAGCTTGGTGTCGGTTTTGCTCTGAGGACACTGAAGCTTTTGCTTGTCCTTGTGTCTGATAGGAATAGCCTCTAGTCATAGACTACTTGCCCTCCGCATATACCTGTCTTGTGCTCACACTGCCATCGCTACCTCCTTATAATGGGGCCGGACCGCATCCCGTGCTCTATAGAGACATGCAGTAGCCAAAGAACAATTGAGAAGAGTTTTCCTTTCGCTGTCTGCATGATGGTAGAGCAAAGTTGTTTTCTTTGCACCCTTGAACTGCAAAAAATTGGTAAATCAAAAGGCCGGCTTGGAGGATGCTGTGGAGTAGAGGATTTCAGCTAAGAAGGCTGTCCAGTTATTGCTTGTGAAATAGTGTCACATCAGGATTGTTGATTTTGCCCTTGTTTTGGGGTTTGTGGAGAAAGTCAGGCACCGGGGCAATGCTTGAGTCCCAGTCTGCTTCTTGGCCTCTGCCTCCCACCAGGAGGACAGTGTGGCGGTGATGTCCCCTGCACCTGGGTTGGGCTGGTGTGCCAGCGCTGCTGGCAGTGGAGCAGAGCCCTGCCCTGGGGAGAGCAAGAACCGCCCAGAGCCCAGCTGTACCTTGGGTAGCTGGAGCCTGTTCTTCCTCCTGTCTGAGTTTTTGGGTGGCTACAGGCTTGTTTAATCCCTTCTGTCGTTGTCCAAGGAAAGTTACTGCTTTGGCTCACAAGTGAGAACGCTAAGAAACAAAAGATTAATTTCTCTCACTCCCCCCCACCCCCTCCTTTTCCTGGCTCCACTCTTTATTGTTCTGAGAATGGAGAGACTCCTTCCCCTCTCCTCCAAGAATCACAACCATTTTTTGTTTTGTTTGTCTTTTACAGATCAATTTTGTAGCCTGTCAACTGTTTGCACTTTTGGCTGCATTTTGGTTTCGTATTTACTTGGGTCCCAGTCATGCCAGCTCTGCTGTTCGCCATGCGTTTGCCACCCTCTTTGGAATATACTTTGCTGTCTTCTGCTTTGGGTGGTGAGTATTTAGTCACCATGTAAACAAGGCTTGGGTAAAGATATTTTTAAACTTCTTATCAGCTTTTCTGGATTACATCTTTTTAGTCTTAAGGCACTTTCTATGTTATCCTAAAAAAAAAAAAAGAAGAATTCCTAGCCCGCATAACCATCTCAAACTTTCAAAGTAAAATGAGCCATGAAAGTATTTGTAAGTGAAGTATTTAATTTGTGATGTTTGTTCTGGAAGTTAAAGCCACACCAGTCTGCTGTGAAGATACCTCTTTTGGAAAAGATGCGTCTAGTTTGAATGTGCATTTTGAGCTAGGCTGCTCTTTCTCTGAATGAAACACATTGACAATATCTTGTCAATAAGTATTAATCTATGTAGGATATTCAGGCTGTAAAGATGTCATTGTGATAATCCATGTTTGCTGATACCCTGGTATGACGTTGCATTTATGTCATTTGCATGGAAAAATATTCCCTCGCTCTGAACTGCCAGCCCTTCCAGGTCACATAGAAATTATCTAAATACTCACTTTGTTGTCTTCAAGGTATTCCATTCATCTTTTTGTCCTGGTGATGATGAACTATGGTATTATGAATATGGCGAGTATTCCCAACATCCACAGGTGAGCTGATGTGGCTGCAAGTCTGGAGCTGCCCCTCTGACAACTTCTCTCCTTTCATAGAGAAGCATGAGGATTTTTTAGGACCATCTTCTATTCTTTCCTGCCTATCTTCCCCAGTTACTCGCAGGAGCTTTGTTCGTTCGGTTGCAGAAGCAGATGTAATCTCAATTTGAGGTTTTTGCGTTGATATATTGCATTTCCTTATGAAATTGCTGGCCTCAAAAGTTGGCTTTTGTAGACTTAATAATTTATGCCCAAACCTCTGGTTTCTTAAATATAATGAAGTCATATTCTCCTTGGTCTTGTGTCCTTGAGGATCGCTTTTGATAATCCTTTTTAATGTGTTTTCCCCCTTGCTGTTTGGCCTTTAAGCATTTTCCACTTATTCTTGAGTTAAGTAGTTCAAATAAGGTCACTATGGCAGCTTAACTTAGTGCTCTATGAAATTAAGTCTTGCATTTGGTACTGGGCTTTGAGCTTGAAAAAGTAGAAAGTACCAGAAATATCATTGCTTTGAAGCAGCAGGTTACGGCATCATCATGAGACGTTCTCAACCATGGGATCCCTCTTTTCCCTATACAAATGTCTCAGAGGAAGGAAGACAACCTAAGACTCCTAAAGTGCTTTATCAACTGAGCGCCTTCCTGGCCGAAAGACAAAAAGCGCTTTCATATGAAAATGAAAACTCTATGGCAGTTATATCTGCTTCTTTCAGTGAATAAGAGGAAGTTCATGCAGAAGAACTCTGCTCAGTAACTGAGCCTTCTCGTGTGGGTACCATACTTTCTGTTAGAGTTCAGCACGTGGGAGTTTTTTTAAATTGTGTAGGTGGAGTCGTTTCCTTCCCATCAATCTGTGCAAATAGGAATTTTTATTTGTAAAACTGCTACTTTATAGCAACCTAGAAGGACGAGCTGGTAGTTCTTTTGTGTTGGCTTCCCTAAGAGCATGTGGTTAATACTGTGGTTTGGTTTGTGTGTGTTACAGGTGATTTCTGTCTCTACACTATGTGGCTGTTTCTGTAGCTGCTGCTGAATGCTCACATCCACATCAGTCTGGGCTGGGGAACGGAAACCCTTTCTTCGCTTGTCTTCAGGGCCAGGGCTGTCTGAGGATCTGATGCTCAGATAATCATCTCCCCTTCTTTTTTATCTCTTCCTGAGGTGACCCCTCTCTAATATCCAAATGGGAACCATCACTTATGATTTCTCTAGGATTGTTTAGAAACGTGAACCATAAACAACAGGCCTGTCTAATGCAGTCGCTAGCATTTTGCACCAGCAAGATAGGTATTAATCAAGGAGGTTTTTTCCACTCCCTCGCAGAGTGCAAAGCCCAGAATTCCAAAGGTAATTAATAATTAAAAAAAAAAAAAAAAGAATTGGACAATGTTTATGAAAGAAATGCCACCCAGAGACCAGAAGGAAAAGGTGCTAAAAATGTGTATTACTTGTCTCCTGGTCATTGTCCCTGCCCGTCACTTGGGGGAAACGTGGGAGTTACTGATTGTAGATCAGAGGAACCAAGTCGACAGAGGGAATCATCCAATACTTACTTATGTCTTCCTAGACAAGTTGAGGTGGTGGTAGGGAAATGGGCAGTTTCAACAGGAAACCCCCTCACTCTTACTGTTTAGCCAGTTACTCACAATGGGAAAAATAGCTATGTACTGCAACACAAATTAAGCTGGTTCATATAATGTCGCCCACTGCTGCGAGATAGTCATGTGATTTGAGTCGATGTGAAAGAGCAATCCAACATGCTGAAAAACCTTAGGAGGGCTGGGAGGATTTGGTTAGGACTTTTCTACCGTATTCCACTAGCCATAGCAGTGTGACTCAAAGTACATCCACATTATTAATTTTGGCAAAATAACAGTGTATTCAAGCTGCTTGAGAATAAACTTGAAGAATGCCAGTTTAAGGGCTGGACCTGTTCATACAGAGGGCCTGTAAGAGCACTGGATTCTTCACAGTGGGGCTCCAAGACTTGGCTTTTGTCCCCCCAAAACCCAAGTGGAAGTGAACAAATGAAATAAAGAAACTGCATAGTTTGACCTGCATGCTCCTTTCCCTGGTTATTTTCTGCTAGTTTGCTCTCTGGTGAGGCTGCCAGCCTTCAAGGCCTATAAATGGACAAACTAATCCAGCATCAGAAATGCTCCCAGCTGCAGCAGCAATTCAGTATATGTCTCCCTGCTCGCCTCCCTTTCAATCTAGGTGCTTTACACTTAAAGACACTTTTAAGCATTGAGGCTTATTTTAGATGCTTCATCCCATCTATCACAGTTACATGTCTGAGCTGGGTGATTTGCCGTTGGAGGGATGCTTGCCGTTCTCCGTCGATGAGAAGGAGCCCAAGGACCTCACTGAGGCTGGACTTGGATGCCTGACTGAGATAAAATAAGATAATTTCTGCCCTGAATCTCCTGAAGAAGCTGTCATGTCCCCTCAGCCTGCCTTTCATCCAGCTGTTTGCTGTGGGCCACGTGACCTGCAGGTTGCCTTGCAATCCATCACTGTCATTCGCACTGCACTTTATTAGTCCCCAGGGAGGAAAAACTCATTTCTTTTAAAGCCAGCCATGATTTGACAGAGACCTGGCTCATTTTCAGTTGTCTGGTGACTGTTTCTCGTTTGATTTCATCTTTAGATCCCCACCATAACCAATCCTCCCATGGGTCTGGGGGGACCCCACTTGGCAAGCGTGTGCTACCAGCCTCCCTGACCTCCCATGGCTCAGCTCTGCTGGGTGTGTAGGATGTGTAGTCTTGTTCCTCTGTAGGTCTTTGCATCTTCTCCTCCATGTGGCTATCTTTTCCTGATGCAGGGGACACCAGTAGACCTGGTCCTGGCCTGTCCATGGGATGCAAGCCTTTCATTCTGGTGTCCCAGCTCTCTGTTGCACTGTCTAGTTTGCTTCATTTGTCAGTCTTGTTTCCAAATACCCATCTGCTTCTCACCTCCCCAGTATCCTCTTTCTTGCTCGGGTAAATACAGGGAGAAGTTAGTTGTAGGAAAGGCTGCATCTGCCCCACTTAGATGCTGCAACGCCTCCAGTCCTCAGACCGTTCAACTCTTAAGATAGAAAGAGTCATGCTACTGTCCTGCCTAACATAATCTTGCGATCAACTTGAAAAACAGAGAGTGAATCTGTCAAGCTCCACTTAAGGAATGCTTCTTCTGGAAGGGGGCATCTTTCAGCATTTAGAGCTGAAAAGATTAGGCTATGTGTCATTATCTGCCTTTATACAAAATCAGAAGAGAGAAAGTATCTTAAACTTGAAATATTTTAGTTTCTGGTAGATCTGAGGAAGAGTTGTACATGTAAATAAAGAACATTTACAGATAAAAAAGGCAATGGATAGCTTCAGCGACGCACATACAGTATCATCTGGTTTCAAATACTTTAGTCAGACAGAAATTTCAAAATAATATGTGAGGGTGGAAACTCTGAAATTGAAATTCCCAACTTAGAAGTGATCCTATTTCTTCTTTTCTTTTTCCCCATCCCCAGTGTGAGGAGACACCTCTGTAATGTTTCAGCTGGGTACACAAAGCCATCAGTCCTCTTTGAAAATTTCTGCCAGGTCTTGTGACAGACTTGTTAACAACCTAATTTGCAAAAATCAAACTCCACTCCTAAACAAGCCCAAACCCAATTTGAGTGATTCTAGTTCTTGTTGGTACTTGTGTTGGTAACTATGTGTTCTGTATGTTGTGTTTTTAGGTACTCCTTTGTTGTAGCTATGGGATACCTCACGTTGTGCCACATAAGCCGAATATACATATTTCATTATGGTATTCTCACTACAGATTTTTCCGGGTGAGTCTTTGCTTGTGAGTCTGCAAGCTGGGTCCTGTGTCAATTAGTATTAGTTAAATTTGGTATGTTTTAGGAATAATTTTTATGTTACCTGGGGAGTGCCTGCAGTTTTGTTTCCCTTAAGCTTTTTCTAAGACTTTTTTTTTAAGGAAGGAATAAACACTGTGTGATTTTTGCATTGACTCATTGTTTCTGCTGTTTTCTTGCTAGGCACTACCTAGTTAGGAAGGTAGAGCTTGGTTAGCTAGACTTCCACCTAGAGCAGCCTGGGAGGGTAAGTCTGCACAGTCGCTTGCTGGAGCTAGAGGAGCGCTTATAGCCTTGGTGAGCGGCATGGCTGGTGCTCCGGTCCCTGGTGGTCTGTCCTGAGAGGTGGGGTGGGCTGCTCTCCTCCCACCTTCATAGGCACAGCTGTTGGCTGCGGGTCATCCTTCCCCCTGTTCTGATTTATCTTGATGCCCCAACTGGGAAGGTGTTTCCCACCTCAGGCACTCCAGCGGGCGGGAGAGGAGGGCTCGGGCAGGGGGTGAGTGGCTGGGGGAGCTGGGAGGTGGGTGGGTAACCTGGGCAGAGAGACATGAGATCAGCTTTTCCTCTCAGTGCCAGTCTTATGGGTTCTCTCACAGGGGCAGGTTGTGGCTGCCGTTTAAATAGCACGACTTTTTATATGCCATGCATTTCTGTGGAACAGTGTTTTTCATATACACTGTAGTATCTGTCTGATTTCACTGAAGCAGTAGAGGATGCTTTGCAAAAATATAGACAGCTAACTATATATTTTGTTTATGAGAGGAAAGTATACTTTTGCATGATTTAAAAACAGTGTGCTAATGCGTATTCCACTTGTTTAATTGAATGTCTTGAATACAGAGTAATTAGTAACATACTATGAAAAACCTCTGTAAACTGGCACAGTAAGTTACAGATGCCTCTTCCAAGCCCCTGTCTTCTTACAGGCAACTGGAGCTTTTTGCTGTCTGTGTGCATGTGTCTGTGTGTGAGGTGGTGGTGGGTTGAAGCATTTAATTAAATTGTGGGGGGGAAGTTCTTCTGAGACTTTTGAGGTTTTTTTCTTAGAGGAGGGAGCAGAAATGGGAACTCATACATTTAGAGAAATTTAGTTCTGTAATTTTTTCTGCGGTTCTTTTAATACACAAAAGCATGTCCTGAAAGAGCATGACACACCAAGAAGCCTATAAATGGGATTGGAATGGTATAGCTCTGTGTGTGTATGAGACGGAGACAGAAATACGAGAGAGCATGCTTTTTGGAATAGTGTGTTCAGAAATGCACTGTGAGGCATATTAGCGGTCTCTCTCTGAAGACATTTAATAAAGATCCAGCTGAGACTGGGGATGGAAGAAGAGGAATGGTGGTTGCTTATATTGTAGACTAGGTAGCATTTTCTGCTCCCTTGATGAAAAGGGAGCTACTTTTATCTAATGATGAGCTTGAGGATAATAATGGTACTGAAAGAATAATACCTGAACTTACTCTGTTATTTGATTTTGTCCTGATGCTTTAAGATATAAACTAATTCCTAAACTTCAGTCAAACATAAAACTGCCAAGTAGTAAGCAACTGGGAAATGTAGTATGGATATGAACTACATCTTCATGGTATATTTTAAAAACTAACAATAAATAAAAATATTGTAGTGGTATTAATAAAAATTTGCAATCCAAAGTGCTCAAATCCAGGTCAGCCTCCTAAACCTGTCTTAAAACCTGTTTTCCTCAGCTGTAAGTAATATGTGCCCACTGAGGCTTTCTGCACATACCTAAACAGATGGGATGACACGGAGAGACAAAATATACTCCCTGACCACTGTTTTACCGTCTGTGAGCAGCAACTGAACCTCCTCTTGCTCATTCTCCCATGTTTGATGATTCTACATCTATTGCATGTGGTAATAGGGAAGCATTCAGACAGGCTTCTGACTGGAAGGATGGCCTTAAAGTTCTCCTTCAGGACTTCAGAAACAACCAAGACAGAATCCATGGAGCGATGTCCATCTCCCTCCAGCCTCCCACCCTTTTGGGTGAACGTGGCTGGGGATATACACTGAGAGGGCAAAACTCTGGATTTAAGGGAATCTTTAAGAGGGAACAAAAAGCCTGTCATCTGCTGACTTGTATTTGAGGTCTCAGTATCCCGTAAGTCTCTGGTGATATCTGATTGCAAGGAGGAAGTTTTAATCCACATCACATAGGCATGTAGCCAGTTCTGGTGCCATCAGCTTTCCAGTGTCGGTTCCCTAAAGTGACGAGCCAGATGTTAGATGAGTGTTTCCCGACGTCGGTGCTGAGAGCTGGCATACCTCATTTGCTCTCTTGACCTGCTTTGTGCACTTAACAGTTTGCATGCATAAGCCTTCTGATGCGTGCTTGCAAATGTATTTTTTTGGTTCTTTAGTAATAGTTGGTTGTGCTATTTGTTTGGAATCCCCCCATTTTGAGAACACAGCTTGTAAAATGCAGGTAGAGATGGGCGGAGGACAAGGTAAGTTTTGAGTCATGTCCTAAGTAAACTGGAAAATCAAACTGTGGCTCACCACTTCAAGGTTAAGAAGTAAGGAAACTTGTTCTCTACTGATGACTAGCTAATTCTTCTAACTCATGCAAAGGGTAGGTTTGGTCAGTGACTCCCACAATCAAAACTGTACTCAAGCTGCTTGCAGCAATTTCTTGATTTAAGAACATTTCATGTATTGCATAGTACTTAGGTGAAAAATCCATTTTTTTTAAAACTACATGCCAGCTTTTAATGAAAACCAGTTCCAGTTTGCTACACTTTAATTTTAATTACTTTTTTAAAAATGTATATATATTTTATCAAAGTTCTTTCAGTTATTTTATTTCACAAAAATGTGGTGACATAATTTAGGAATTTTCTCCTGACTACTTTCTCAAAGAAAACTATTCATGTTTGAACACTAATTGTAAAATAACTGAATGCTGTGCTTCCCCCTTAATTCAAATCAGACTTTGAGAGAAACATGCCTATTTTACTTTGCTTGGTTTGCCATAGCATTTATACATTGTACCTAGGAATACTAAATCCTAACTCTTTCTCTCTCTCTTTCTCTCTCTTATTTCTTCTTTATGCTAAGAGGATTATGCTGGTAAGTTGCCTGGTTTCTATAGAACTTTATAAAAATGGTAATACTAACATACAGTTTGGGGTTTTTTTCCTTTGTATCACAGGCTCAGACCGAGCATAGTAATATTATGGCTTTAGGGAGAAATTAGCTTAAAATAAATCAAGGGATCTCGATTGGGATTTTTGGAAACTAGTAATAGATATGCTTTCAATCTAGCAAGCTACATTGAACAAATGCCATATGCATATGATCATCTGGACGGGATTCAGAGGAGCTCCTCCTCACCCATATGAAGTTGTGTCTGCTTTAATCCTTCGCTTGATTAAGACCATAGAGCTTTTTGGTTTCCTCTTTGAATTCTTGCAGTGTCTGAGCAAAATTTCCTAATGTTGCAGCTCATTTGGTGAATGTCAGGGAATGATTGTACGTATGTGAGTTTCTTGGTGCCATTCCTTACAGAAAAGAAAGTCTGTTTGTGAAAACCGCCACACACACTGGCATTGCTTTCAATCTTCTGTTGGTCTTAGAGAGACCAGAGCTGATTTACCAAGGGAGACTCGAGCAGTTTTCTTCCCTACAGGTGTCAAATCTGTACCTCTTACCTGAGTGTTTTGGTGGACATCACTCTCCAGAAGGAATGGACATCTTTACACGTTTGCTCTGTCCCAAATGCAGAACAGCAGCAGCATTCCAGCAAACCGCTTAGAAAGGGATGGTCGTTGAAAGAGCCCTCTCAAAAAGCCATATAAGCAGATACCTCAGTAACAAGTGTCACTTCAGGGCAGTGAATTTTTGTTGGGTGGTTAGTGCTTTGTTGCTGTTTTCTCACCTCTCAGTGGCTTAGTATCAACCACAAAAGAAAGGAACAAAGGTACAACAGCCGTTGTTTACAAAGGAAATACATTTGCTGATGGAAACGAACATAGGTGTACTCTGTTACCATGTTAAAGCACAATGCAGAAATACTAACTGGTCCAGCGAGTTCAGTTGGTTATTTTTATTTTCTTGTCTTTTAAATGTATCAAGTGCAATATGTTGCCTGCAGTGTATGTTCCAGCAGCTCTGGGTAACTTGGGTCTGCGGCAAGTCCCCAGAGGCAGTACAGTAGCACACGTGCAGAGGGTGAGTAAGAGGAGGTCAGCCAGTTTTCCGTGCCCGCTCGCTGCTTGGCTGCTCTGCTGGGCATTCGTCCGCTTGAAACTGCACTGAGATCACTTACCATTGGTTACACAGAAGCCCTGCAAGAGCCGCAATATGGGAATTAGCCAAAATTCAAGCAGGCAGTCAGTACTGGAAAGTTCCACATATCTAGTGCATCCCAGGGCACTTCTCCAGAAGTAAATATTCTTTTAAGTGAAATGCTTCTACCATGAAGGTGTAAGAAATGCTCTTTGGGAGCTTTCACCAGAAAAACACGTGAAGCAAACTGGAAATTGCTTTGGAGGCGTGAGAGTGTTTAGTAAAATATTTTTCCTCTGTGTGCTTCAGCACTTCTTCATTTTGCTGTCGAAAGCAGAAGTAAGAGCCCGTTGCCAGTGAAGTCGCTGTGGCGCCTCTGGCTCGGCGATCCCCTCTGCAGCACCGTTAATGTCGTAGCAGAGTGTGACTGTGTGAACTTCTCATCATGGCTTCAGGGCTAGAGAGATAAACCTGAAATAAACATTTGCTGTTTTGGAGTCTGGTCTGCAATGAGCCTTTTGACTCCACCTCCTCTCTTAGTGAAATCAGGTCAGTGGAAACTATTTCTAGCGAGTGTGTGCCAGACTCCTCCATGGGATTACCTAAGGTCAGGCAGACTCTGCTGGGTAAACGTCTCTTCTCTCATAAGCATCGAAGCTTGCTCAGTGCAGAAGCCAGCCTGTGATACGGGGAGGATCCCCACAGCAGGCTACAACCGGTGCTGACATCTTTAGTTCCACTGGCCTGTGCTTCTGGGCAAATTTATTACATTGGGGCAAGCCATGTTTAAAAATGACATTAACTGGTATGTTTTCATTTGGGAGGTTTAATTAGGGGGTAAAACCCTCTATTGAGCATTCTCTGTAAACTGTTGCATCTTTGCCTTGTGTTATTTTTCAAGGCATCTAACTGAAGGTAAAGGCAATTTTGGTTTTTTTTATTTGTTGAAATTTCATATTTCATACTGACCCCCTGGGACAATTTTTTGATGTTTTGGGTTTTTTTAATTAAAAGTTGGCCACTGCAATTTGTGTGTAGGAGGTACAATGCAGCTACAACCTGAGATTAAACTCTTAGCCAATGTATAAAATATAGAGGGGGAGAAAAAAATGACACCACAGGTAAATCTGATTCTGTGCTTCTGTGCTAGTTTGTAACTGTAGTGGATGTAGAGGATGTAGAATCATAGCACTTAGCGTGTAGCTGCAAAGCGGTTGGAAGGTGTTCAAATATGATTGAGTTCAAGTCATTTAGGCTTCTTAAGTATGTGTTTTATTTCAAATGCCCTGTTTCTAGGGGTAGATCTTCATGCTTCATCTGTAAATGCAAGTATAGTAGGTAGATCTTCTTTTTAAATTCAACCTAATAATTTGCCCCACTCCCAATAACCTGTGCATCTCTCAAAATTTGGGAGAAAGAAAGATTATTGGAAGTTTTACAGCTTTGTTAACTCCCCTTCTTGTTTGTAGCACTTCAGGCTTTTTTTCCAGTAGAGTCTGAGGTTTAAAATATTATCATGTCAGAAACAGTTGACTATATGTGATATGATGCCATATTTTACATATTAACTTGTTCAATGTTTTATTGCTGTTTAAAATTAGAGGTTACCTGAAAGGCTGAACATAAATGACAATTCAATACTCTGGTATTGCCAAGTTTTAATAATCAGAACTTCTGTGTATTTAGGAAATGATTATATTAATTTTTGCCCCTAAATTAAATGTATTTTTCTTATCTAATTTTTAGTATTGATTCAGGACTTGCGTCCTCATGCATTGCTTTGCAAATATGGGGGAAAGGACTGTTTTTCATTCTGAAGAAACAAAAACAGTCTTAGACTTGCTCTGTGTGTGTGCGCGTGATGAGATTGGTGAGTCCCCAGGGAGGAGTGGGACAGGTGTGGGTGTGCAGAAGGTGGGGGGCCCCCACACCCCAGAGAGGTGCCAGAAGATGACAGAGCTCCAGCACTGCTATTGCTTTGTTGTGCTCTGCCCTTTCCTGCAGCGAAGGCTTGGTCCCCCAGTGAGATGAAGTCAGGGGGGGAATGGTAGGCGGGTGAGGAAGGAGGAAGATGCTCCCTGTTCACCTGAAACCTTGCTTACCCTTTGTGTGAAGCGTTTAATGATATCTGATACTGATCTTGTGAAAGATTTAGAGGGTGTCATCTCATTGTCACTGTACAGCAGGTTTCCGCCTTCGTGAGTGGGGTATAGAAGAGATACGTAGATGTATAATACGATGATGGCAGGAGAGAGAACTGAAGGTATCTCAGATGTACTTTATGGGTCTCCCTCCCACCCATGGTGTCAGCAGCATCGCTTTTGTGCTCGCTTGTCTCCTCTGGAGTTGGGATTTGAGGGAGGCAGACCATCCGTCTTTTCTGATTAAAGTACAGGAGAGGTTGACTTGTTCTGCCGGGTTACAATGTGCCGTCAATGAGGTGATGAATTCCTAATATAGATGAAGAGAACCTCTCTCTTCTCTGTGTTTATATGTTGTATGACTTTAGTGCAGGCTGCACTTCTGCTTCCCTTGGTTAATCAGCGCATCAGGATTGTTTGCATTTTTGTTCTCTCTGGCTTAAGGCAGGGGGCTCAATTTTCTAAGACAAGTGTCTAAATTTAGGCACTTAAAGGCATGCGGTTTTGGCTCTGAGCCTGAGGTTTAAAGTTACCCACTTCAATATTGGCATAAAGTGCTTGCCGTAAGAAACATACGCAACAAATTGAACTAATTTGAAACAAGTGTTAGTGTTCACCCATAAATCTAAAAGTTCAAGCACTGACAAAATAAAAATCTGTGTTTATTGCAGTAGAACTGCTGGTTCACTGACAGCCTCTGTCTCTCTTAAGGATTAAAAAAATCTGCTTTTTCATATGCTTAAAGGATTGGGATTTATGTATCTTTGAAAGCAAAGCTAAATTTTGTTTAAATGGGAAAATCTACTTTGAGAAAGAGGATGTTGAAGATAATGGTGAAAACAGCTTATAAATAACTTCTCTTGAAAGATGAATTGGACTAAAAATTAGAATGACTATTTCACAATATCGGAGTTGTCTGGAAGGTGAAAAGTCATTGTTGAATTTGTCCATTCCTTAGCTGCAATCAATGGTCTAGGTGACCCAAGGAGAGCTGCTGTACAAACCCTTGTGTTATGGTTGTATTCCAGATCTGTGTGTAGTAAAGCTTGTTCTGGATTTTATGTGCAAGCTTTTTTACTGACATTTCAAGTAGAGACTGCTGAAATGATAAAAATAGTTTCTGATTAAGAAATTGGCTGATATTGCATGTTCTCTGTTTTTGGATAGAAAATGCAAATTACTCTACCCACGCAGAATTACATGTGGACTCTTGAAAAAGATCAGCCATATTTAGTATTTGGAAAAAAAACACGACCACTTACAGTGAAAAAATGTCTTTTTCCAGTATTCTTGTTTACCATGCTCAGCATATTAATTATATTGAAAATCAGGTTGATTTATCATAGTGGGATCATCAGATTGCAAACAGTTTATCTTAGCCATTGGGTTTACATTTGGTTGTAACCAGTAGGTCGATTTAGTCAAGGATGATTCAGAATCTCTTGAAAAATCTCTGCAGAACATGAATACTTGACTGTTATTTTAGACAGTGATATCATTGAATGGAACTTTCACTTTTTTTTCTTACCTTGGGAAATCGGTGGGGAAAATACAGTGCTCGAACTAAAAAAAAAAAAGCCTTCAGCTTTTTTTCTTTCATTGAATTCCAGAAAGTACGTTACAATATTTGAAATGAATAGACATAACATTTGGAGTAATCATCTATGTCTCTTTAAAAAGTTCCAAATATCGGTCAAACTCTGTAAATAGCATGTACACAAACTTGGGTTTTAATTTCCACGTTGAAGACATCATTTGTGTTCAAGCAGAAACCTCTGTATGGTTTATGTTGATAATTTATCACCAAATTGAGAAACAATCCATTGTATTAATCCTCAGTGAAGACAAATCTCTTCTGTGGAACTAGTTTTACCTATAATAATCACAATTAATGCTTTTAAAATAATGATGTATCCTCATCACCCATTACAACCTCCTGGCTCTTGCGGTTGTGAAGGTCTCGTAAGTAGTGTGAGATCTGGGCACCCTGTGCTGCTGTCCCCAGTGTCAGAGAGATGGGGAGAGGCAGTGTTAGCAGGTCCCTCACTTTGCCTGCCATGGGTCCTTCCAGATTACAGGTGTTCAGTGCCGGGTTTTGTGTTCAGGGCTCCACAGCCCTTAGAAGCTGTATATGGACCACAATTAGCCTGGGAGCCTCTGCCTATGAGGGATTGGTTAGTTGTCCCCATGGTTTTCCCCCCTTCTTTCTTCTTACGTACCTCTGAATGCTCCTGGCTGTGTCCTTTACCCTCATGGGACCAGCTCCTGATGCCACCAAGCTGAGTTTTGCCTTTTTTCTATTCCTTGGCTGCAGCAGGTCACATTTGCCTACAGTGCTAAGAAGCTCTGTAGAGGTGCATATGGGAGGTGTAAGCAGCCCTATTGAACGTAGTGGCTATTTCTATGCTGCTTGTTTGGTTGGCCCCAAAGCTGCTGGGTGGTTGTAGGCTGTAAGCGTGGCTCAGGTACAGCTACCTCATGTTTTCGGGAGGCTCCAGATCCCACGTGCCCAAACACTCCCTGTTGGATGGTACATCTTGGACAGGCTGTCCACAAGGCAGTTGCATGGCCAAGAAGCAAGTGGGAAACTGCTGTGCTGACAGCTATTCTGGTATTTGCACGTAGTCCTAATTGATAGGGCTATTCATGTGGGGAAATAAGCAAGTGTATCTGCAGAGTCGACATTTTTTTAGGGCACTGAGGAGACAGACAATAGGAGAGTAACAGTAAGAAGAGCCAGAGTTATGTTACAGCAGCATTGCTGTATTCTAGTGTTGTATCGTATGGGGCTTGAATTTGGCCTTTGCCTGAAAGGAAGCCCGGTGGACTGCAGAAGCTGGTGTTTCCTAGTGGTGCGACTTCTTCTGAATTACAATTTGCACTGCTGCAGGATGGGGAGACATAAAATAAGGCTTTGTGCACACTTAGCAATTAAAAATTCCAGTGCAAGTTACTGTGGCGTTGTTTTGAACCCAGGCAATTGTCTTATGCCTGAGTTCCTCCTTCAGTTTTAATTGGATGTTTTCCACTTGTTGCTAATACAGTTATGCCTTTTAAAAGGATAAAGACGTTCAGTAAGAAAGTTGGGAGTAATTTGTATTACAAGACATGTAACTGTTGTTTCTGTCTTTGTTTATAGTCCGCTGATGATAATTACACAGAAGATCACAACACTTGCATGCCAGTTACATGATGGTAAGAAAAGGAATCTCTTCCCATGGCCTGAAGACAGCCTTTTTATTCCAGCACAATCTGTGGTTGAGTTATGGAGTGGATGAATGTAGTTCAGCAAGTTGCTCCAAATGAAGAAGAAAAATGCTTTGTGGAGGAAAATGAGAAACTTGAAGTTTTGATCAGTTCTCTAGGATGAAACTGTCTTTGCAGTAACGAAGACAACTGCTTTCTCCTTTGGGGGCTCTGCTTCCTTGGGGCCCAATTTGGATGTTAGGTAGTACCAGTATCTGCTGTTTAGATGCTACAGTGCATCTCCATTAAGCTCTCTGAAGCTGTTCTTGATTCTCAAAAATCAAGAGTTGTGTTTGATACATAGGTTCAGTTATTAATGTTAATGTAGCAAAAATATGCTATCACTGATATATTCAGTGATAATATACTCCATAAGTTGCAAGGGGTGGAATTCAATAGCTTTTTCCCAGTGCTGGGAGAAGCACAGTTGCAAGCAAAATAACATCGTCTTCAGTCTTGTGCTGTGCTGTGACAAAGAGCACTATTAGTTCCCAGTAAAATGCCTGTGTCTAGTACAGTGCAAAGGCTAGAAATGTCAGTTGTCATCAGTACCATTATTGCTCATGTCTACTGATGTTGCAGTGTGAATTTCTGATGGTCTGAGGCCCATTGCCTTGTAAAATGTGTGTGACTAAGTAAGTAGCCTGCTATGGAGTTGTTATGATCTAGGATTTAGGTGATGGCCACACCACAGACTGCAGGGTCTGTCACCATTCACAAGCCAAGTTTACACAAGTGGATCTAATGCTTTTAGCTGGCTATAATGGGTGCAGCTTGAAGCTTGGCTAATTGACCTTGTTGTTGACATTCATGTTGCTGGGGCTTCTCTGCTTCTGTTATTTAAGCTAGCCAGCTCAGGTATTGCTGCGTGCCACAGTGGCGTGCAGCCTAGATGCACACCTAGAATATTGAAGGTAAACGGACAGAAAGGAAAAGATAACAGCAGAGGTGGGAGCATTTTAAGCGAACCAGAAATCCTGCAGGTTAATGATGGTGGAAAAGGCTCCTTACACTGTGAACATCCATATATGGAGCAGTTGATCAAATGGAGGCAGCTTGCAGTTCAGGTGTTAGTGACAAATCTCTATTGGTAAAAATTTAACGCAGCTGCCCATAAATGGAAACAGACAAACAAAATACCCAGCCGTTTAAGTAATTAAGTGCTTAATTGTTTCCCTGGAACTCATGCCCTCCCAGTATTTACGAACTGAAATAGCAGAGAGAGAATGGAAATAAGCAGCTTATCAGCAGTCTTTTTAGGAAATGAGTCTTATGTGTGTGTATCAGTAATTATGGCCAGTAGATTTAGAACAGTAGTGTTAATTGATGCCAAACCCCTGATCTAGTGAAGATGTAAATGCATGCTCAGCATCAAGTGCTGTGACTCATCCCATGGTGAGTTGTTCTGCTGAAGCCAGTGGGATTCCTCATAGTATGCGCAGCTAAAGCTGTGGAGTGAAGGTTTTGAGATCTTTGCTATGAGCAACATCTGTTTACGCACTGGCCATCATACAAGATTTTTCCATAGTTTTCCTGGGACATTACTGATGTGTGTGTTTAGGCTCGCTCCAGCAGCAGGCTGCCAGGCTGCTCGTTCACACCAGTGGAGCTTCTGTTTCCTGAGAGCCCGTTTCTCTTCCACTGCCCACTCCTCCTGCTGTGAAATGCTCCATTTCTCACCAAGGAGCCAGCGGGAGGCTTGTGCTTAAATGAGCCAGCGGCTTCTGGGAACAGAGATTTTTCCAGCCCAGGACCGTTAGTAGAGGCTGCTGGGGGTTGCTGCCAGTTGGTGGCATTGCGAGTTGCATTGCGTGTGTTGGGAATACTATGGCTGCTCTTCCTGAAAGCATAGCAAGGGTGAGAAAGGGGGGAATAAGGTAAGGAACTGGGTAAAGAGGTAGGGTAGAACAGGAAGATACTTGACCTAAAAGTTAGGAATCGAGCTGTGTTACAACTGCCTGTGACAAAGAAATCTTGAAGCTTATGGCTTTAGAAAGTTATCTGTGGGATGCAAACGTAAGGCTTTGGGGATAGCTTTCACTGTTTGGCTTTTGGAAAGATCTAGTGTGACTTTTCTTTCTCTCTAGGAATAGGGCGACAAGCTGAGGAACTCACTGCTGAGCAAAATCGTCTTGCTGTAAAGTAAGAATTTAATTCCCCTAGTGATTTGTGTTTAATTTCATCCGAAGAAGTTTAGGGTGGTGTGGGGTTTTTTTTGTTTGGTTGGTTTGGTTTGTTTTTTTGTTTTTATTTTTCCCTTTGCAATGTCAGGACCAACTTAGTGGCCTGGCCATGAAAATGTTCCCTGCTTCTTTCCAGCCCATGATAAGCCAAAAGCCCTACCTGTTTTTTCAATTTGCTTGAGCAGTTTTGTTTTTGTAATGCTGCTGTCAGTGCCCTCCTTACACAAACATACTTCTCTGCTATATTCCTTATTTCTTCAATCCAGGCCTTCTGCCTTTATCACCCTGTGCTGGTCAGTAAAGCACTGAAGTACTTGGCAACATTTCATTGACTTAAATATATACTCCACATGCAACAAAACTAGTCTTCGCTGAATCAACCCTTTTATATTTAGGCTAAGACTATACTGTATGGAGTTTTTGGCTGCTGTCTTCATCCTATCTGTGATATGTTATTTTTCCAAGTAGAACACTTCCTCCTCTGTCAGCAAAGCACTGCGTAGTAAAAATCCATTTTGGTTTGACTCTGACACTTCAAGTACTACTTTTCTTTGCCATAATTTTTGGACACTGAAATTTTACTTTTCCTATCTCGCTCCATAATGTTGGGACTAATGAAGGACTCCTAGTCCTTCACTTTATGTGACTAGTCTTCTCATTTTTCAGAGGGAGACAGAATGGTGATCATATGTTTAAGCGCCTTTTTTTTCCTATTTTGTCTCTCAATACAAGTGCAGGATGCAGGTGAATTTTTTTTTTTTAGAAAAATTAGTGTTACAGAATTAGTCTTGGAATCATAACTACTTTTCACCATGAAGTGTTTGTTTAAGGCCAAGGAAATTATTTCCTTCAGAAGATTCAGCTATCAGAAAATCTGTCTATGTGCTTCTAAAAGTAAGAAGGGAGTAATTTCTTGAAAAGCAAAAATCCTGTAGGGAGACTCGTATAACTTTTGTTGTCACCCATAGCTTTGTGTCTATTTTTAAAGCTCACAGCATACCGTTTAACTGCACTGGGCCCTTGTGACCATATGATTAATTCTAGTCAAATTCTCACCAAACAGGCTTTTTTTCTTGTACAGTAGATGAGCTCATAATAGAAAAGTACACGCCAATAGCTCAAGTGTCAGTGGTAGACAAGTCACAACTGAAGAGTTTTAAATCCCCGTTGGTAATACAGCCTTTTGTCTTCCCTCCTGTTCTTGGTCTGTTTTTGTTTCTCACTCATCCTCTGTACATTCCTTCATGTATTGCTCATGTCTCCCCACCCACCCATGTGCAGAATCTAAGCTGAAACTAATGACTTTATTTTTAATCTTACTGTAGAGCTCAGAAGCCCAAATCACGGACTCGATTTTGCAGAACAGAAAGATGAGCCTTACCCCAAATTGTTTGCTGCATCTTTCTGTGAAATGCTTTCACCAGAGAACATATCATTCAGGCATTAATAGCTACAATAACCAGCAGGGTGAATGCAGAAAACCCTGGCTAAGCTAACTGTTTATTCAAACTAATTCCGCTTCGGAATAGAAGTAGGCAACAGCAAATGTTTAACTGTTGCTTAGTTTTTCTGCTAGAAATTTATGATTTGGTCTGAAAGAATTTTCAGTGGATTTTGGTTTATGTGTGTCCATCTGTGTCTTGGACAGGAAAGTCTCGAAACACTGTGCCCTAGTTTCTGTTCTCATCTGGGGACTCCTTGTTTACTTGGATGGTGACTGTTAGCACACTTGTGGAGAGCACTGTGTATCTCACTGCAGAATTTAGATGTCGGTGTTTTCAGCCACATAAATTGTTTGGCTTGCTTTATTTACAAATTACACTAGTGGTGAGAGGCCTGTGCATCTTTCTTTTCCATCCTATTGATCTGTAGCAAGGACAGTGGATCTTCTTAATTTTACATCTAATGTAAAACCCCCCAAGGAACTTGTGAGGATATGCACTTGCAAAATGGAAATAACGAACAGGATGGACACTCCTTGACTTGACTTTCATCTTCAGCTGTCTTTTGATTTATGTGTTTTTTTCCCCTTAGTTCCTTTTCCTGTTCATGATGCAATACGGGCAATTACTTCCTTTATTTGCACAGCAGGACAGAGTGCCTCTTCATTCTCTTCCTTTATGTCTCACATCACACTTCCCATTTTTCAAAAGGCTGAACTGAAGGGTGGGTGAGAGCTCCTCTCAGGCCTGAGAGTCCTGGTCTTAAATGCTCCCTGCCCTGTGGTTTGCGTAACAAGGCAAGGTACTGCTTTGCACTGCTTGGTGGGACTTGTGCTACGCAGCTTGTGGTCTGTCAGCCGTTACTGGTCCCTGACACACTGGACAGATGTCCAGAAACAGTTACCCGCTTCTCACTCCTGGTACTGCTGGCCTGTTTAAAATGTGCAAGTCAATTTGTTTGGGAGTGGGTATTTAAATTTATGACTGTTTTTAGCCAAAATGTTTCTAGTAATAAGATGACAACTTTTCAGATCAGTAGCATTCGTTCACCTGTAGCTTAAGCACTTCCACATTACCCTTGTTCTCACTGCCATCTGCTAGACATCACCGGGCTATAAGAGAGGCTGTGCTTCGTCTTCTCCAAAACAGATAGAGTGAGCTTTCAGCTGCGGGGAGAGTGGTAGGAGAGAGTTGGGGACTGAGGCAGACTACAACAAAAAGCATTCGTGAAAGCCTTTGCTGTGTTTTACCTTGTTTTGGTTTTTTTGTTTTGTTTTGGTGTGTGTGGATGATTTTCACAGGACAAGACCTTCTTTACTGGAGTATTTAAGCTATCTCCTCAATTTTATGAGCGTCATAGCTGGGCCTTGCAGCAATTACAAGGATTATATAGCCTTCATTGAAGGGAGGCACGTGCACATGAAACTATTAGAAGTGAACTGGAAGCAGAAGGGTTATGACAGACTTCCTGATCCTTCTCCAACTGTAAGTTTCAAAATGACAAAGATTTATTGCTTTGCAGGAGAGTACAGCTTTGTACATGATTCTCATAATTAAAAACTAAGAAGAAAAACCATTTTTGGATTATATTCCCAGTAAATGTTACAGTGGGTTTTTTTTCTGTGAAGTGGCTGCTGTTTTTATCACAGGGTCAGGGGTGAAGGGGCTAGTGTCTTCCTCTTGAATTCCCCAAATGCGTTTGGGTGGGTTTTTTCTGTGAAGTGGCTGCTGTTTTTATCACAGGGTCAGGGGTGAAGGGGCTAGTGTCTTCCTCTTGAATTCCCCAAATGCGTTTGGCTTGCAAAATGGGTCATTGGTTAATGGGTGTCCTTTGTGCAGCAATGGGAATGGTCTGCACGTTCAGCTCCAGACAGAAGAGGAAATGTCAGGGGAAAAAAGAAAAGTCAAATCTCACTGGTAGTGCAGGGGATGTTAGAAGTACATGAATCACAGCTAATCAGAAGCTGTAGCTTGTCCAGGTGCTTTGCAAAAGAATCTCACACTTTAAGATGACTTGGAGGTCATTTTTCACATACAATTAACACATTTTATTTTATATTTTTTTTAATATTACTTAAGATCTTCTTATAAAATGACCTTCTTGTAAGGCAGGATAATGTGGCATGAGAACCACATTCCTCTCTCTTACCTTAAGGCGACACTGAATGTGTAGCTTTGAGTGTGTGCAGAACGTCTCCTCTGAAATTGAGTATGTGCCTATACATACCTGATTCCGGTTGCACACGGTTGTATTTCTGCTGACTTCAGTGGTGTCACTTCTGATTTACATTAGTCTGACTGAGGTCAGAATAAGGCCGCTATTGTGTTAGATGCAAGGCACAAGAGAATATTAAAATTTGCATTGTAACTATTCAAAGATAGTTGCACACTAATTTATTCCTGAATATGAAGATATAAAAGGGGTACTTGAGATCAAAAAATGCATTTTTGTTTCAATAGTATATTGCACTTTTATTAGTCTTTTGAGAACATGAGTCAATTTTTACATGGTATCCAAGCGCCAGATTTACCTTTTTAATTATGACGGTATCAAGGGGAGTTTACTCCTGATGTGTATTTGAAATCAAGCTTCTAACTACTGACATGATTGTCAATAATATTGGTATATAGAAAGCTAGGGAGCAGTAATAGAAAACAGCATGGCGTAGCAGATACCCTGTATCATGGGAAGGTATGCAAGCTGTATAAGACGTACACTTTTTGGACAGGTGACTTTTAGCAAGACCTCTGGACGGTAGCTGGGCAATAAGACCTACTGTTGAACTGAATACTGATGGTTTTGACTTCCAGGAGATGACAGTCCATATAGGGAAGATTTCTCCTTTACATTGTAGGGTTTGTTTTTTTGTTTGTTTCCTTTCTCATTTTAGGACCTTCACTAACTGATGTAGGAGTCTCTTGTGAAGTTCATCACCAATTTTGACTTCTAATTGTCGTTTGTAGCTATCTGTAGGTAGCTCAGCAAAACAAATCAAACCAAAGCTTTGACTGTGGCCTTTTCTTTGTTACCTCTTCTAAATTAATTATTATCAACTTTGTCACTGCTAACTTTATTGGTTCTTGAAGCACATTGTTTTTTGTAAGTCAAGAGTACTGCCTGTTTTTTTTTTTTCTTCCCTTAAGCAAATGTTTCTAATGAATGTTTCATTGTTGTTTGTGCTTTTTAGGGAGCAGTGATGTACAAGCTGTGTATCACACTAGTATCTCTCATTTTATTCTTGACACTTACCAAGAACTTTCCTATGGCATATATTATTGATAATGAATTTCTTGATAAAACACCCTTCTTGTCAAGACTTGGTTACCTGTATGTTGTAACACAGGCAGCAAAACCAAAGTATTACTTTGCATGGACGTTAGGTAAGTCTGGCTA